CAGTGCTCATTCCACACTGTAGCATGACCCTTTCCACCTTAACATCACTATGCATATTCTTCATATGGTTTGTAAGGTGCTGACAAGTAAAATTTGTGTAACAATCAAGGGCTTTTTTTTATCAGTGACCATTTCCCTTTTTCTTGTGACCTCAATGTTTGATTCAGGAGTGATCTTGTCCGGAGAAATTAGATACTAATCAATCTTAGGGGAGGTCAAATGGTAAAAGAGACTAAGAGTTATCTAAATCTTCCATTCCCAGCACCCCTTCTCCAACCCTTTCTTCTGGGTGGGGAAAGAAACCATCAGTTTTAAGTTCCTTCCCGAAAAATAACCAAACTGATCCCATCATAGGCTGAAACATTTCACAATCTATTCCAAGTCCTGTTTGCTAAATATTCTGTACCTTATACTTAATACTTACATCTGAGAGAGTCAATTCAAACACAACTGGTTCCATGCAAGGACCCTTGAAAGGAGGCTGTAAAATGCTGTCCAGCAGCAAGACGCCATTAAGATCCTTTCTGAGTCCAGATACATTTCCATTTGTGATAAACAGCTTCTCCACCTCAGGACAAAACTTACATTGAAGGAACTTAGCTTCTCCTACATAGGAAATGATTATGAAAGATGTTAAAGTCTGTCTACATCCAAGGTACATTGTAAGGCTTAATCTTCCTGTTGTGCAATTAAAACAATGAAATGTTGGAGTAATAACTATCCCTGAGCATAATTATACAAACTGTGTGAAAACTGGTTGTAGTTGATGTTAGTAGACCAGTATGCACTTTCTCCATACTCCTCTCTATACACTCCCTGTGGTACTGACAGAGAGAATTTATTTACATTTGTGTAACAATCAGAGCCTCTTAGGTTGGCAATCATTTCCATCATTCTCATGATCTTACTGAATGATTCAGCAGTATAATGTAATGAGAAATTAGGAGCTGGTAACTCTCACAATTTAAATGGGTTAAAGTTACTTAAATTAACTGGAAGAGGGCTATTTTAAGAGAAAAAATTCTTATTTCTGTACTGTTTGCAATAGACTATGCTAGAAAAATGAAAATTCAGGAAAATCATTTTCCCCTTAATTTGACTATCAAAAAAATCCTACAAAGAAGTGATGAGAAGTGAAACAATCATCATCTACAGGGTATTGTTTGATTGACTTCCAAATTCTTATATATAAATTATAAGTACTGAACGGTAAATAATAAGGAGAATTGCTATTTAGGTCTTAGGGGTGAAAGGGTTAAAGGAGAGTCTCAATGGGCAGGTCTTCATGTTGGTTGTTCGTTAGAGCGTTATTACTTTGTCGGAACTCGCTTTAAACTTTTGATCTTTGTCGGTGGTCGGTAAATATCAGTTAATGATTAAAAATGCAAGTTAATTACTCATATTTGTTGGATAAATGAGCTTGAGGACCAGAAGCTGTTCAGAAAAATAGCCCAGTTAGAATGTTATCATTTTTTCAGTAGTTAGTTATAATTTTTTATTTTTGTCGGTAAACAGCAAATCTCAGTTAATGATAAAAATCCATGCTAATTATTCATTTTGTTGGGTTATAGGCTTGAGTATGAGATGCTGTTATTCAAATGAGCCCTGTTAGAATTTAATTACTCTGTCAGTAGTTAGTTAAAATGTTCAATCTTTGTCGGTAGTCAGCAAATCTCAGTTAATGATTAAAAATTCATGTTAATTATTTACATTTATCTGGTAATACATGAGAAGCAGCAGACACTGTTCTGGAAATGAGCCTGTGCTCCTTCCAAGCCATAAGTAAGCTTAATGACAGGAAATTCTATAATTAACTGAATCTTATGAATATGGATAATGTTGCAACATGTCAGTTGTGGGTTCATATAAACTTGTCACTACAGGGTAATTGTTTTTTGCATTTTGTTGGTAGTCAGTTGTATTTGTCTCCCTTTTTTGCTAGTTGGTTAACTCAATTCAGATCCTCTTATTGATCACAGGCCTACAAATACTTCACTTGCAATTTGACTTCAAATTTAAGATAACTATGGTGCTTTAATGCACTTGAAGTCAATATATGACATAACTTTGGCTTACAAATTGAAAGTTTGTGACTTCCATTCTAAAAGCTGTACACCAATAATGATCAATGATTTCGTGGCTGGTCTCAAAAAATTAAGTGCAACACGCTGAAATGACCACCTTCTCTGTTAACGAAAAAAACGTTTACGTTTCTTCAAAACGATCATTGAGGAGTTGATCTTGATTTTACAATGTACGCGGGCATGTATAAAGTCTAACACATGCAAAAATTAGAATTCGCATAAGACAAAGCACTGACCATTTGAAAGGTCAAACTCCTGTCACGATAACGAAGTAGCATTAGGGGTAGGTGATTCATATCCATCTGACGTTAGTTACAAACATTTGAAGCCGCGTAATCTAACTGCATGAAAAACACATGCTTCAGTTTGTACAAACCTGATACTGCCGGCTCTGTCCGCTTCAAACCTAGACTAGAACGCGCATCCACGACTTCAACCGTTCCATCTTTGAGCGTACAGATGAAGCAGTTTGATGTAGGTGAAAAAGTCACAGAAGTTGGACGGCCACTGAACTGGAGGCAGCCTTCTTCCTCAAAATACCACTCCTCCTCGGCCGCCATATTTTAGCTTCGACATGGTTTCAGGGTACTTAGCGGCCAGGCCAGCTCATATCTTCAGGCCTTCATAGGTCTGGCTAGCGTACATACGTATTGGTACACAGACAAGCCGATCTTAGTCGTGAAAAAAAAAAAAAAAAACAGTGGACCTGATCGTGTTCGTGTTTCAAAGGTAAAGATCAGAGGGTTTTTCTCTCTTATGATAATGAACTAATTAGCCGTTGTCTAAAGTGTGATCGGAAGGGACAGTCAAATGATGATAGAAATGATAACAATCATAAGTAATAATAATAATAATAATAATAATAATAATAATGATAACAACTTTATTGACGTGTCTTACGTTCTAGTTTCTTTATCAACGACTACTGCGAAGAAGCCCTTATTGATAAGCGACTATCTTGTGAAAGCCATGAGGCGTAAAGCTGGCTTGGCCGCTAAGTTAATCGAGTTTCTCGTCACCAGTCTTCCCTATGAAAATCAAGCAAACCAAATGCGGCTCAGAAGACGAGCGTTTGGCGAAAGATATCAGAAAATGTTCGGACATTTAGGATAAATCGGGCAGAGATTTAAGATAAAAGCACAAAGAGACGTACGTGGAAAATTGTTGTGGTCTTGTCATTCATACAAAAAGGGGTTAAGTTTCTAAAGAAACGGTGGTGCTGCGTTAGTGGAAGAGTATAACAGGGTAATTAAGTATTATCAAATGGGTTGATAACGTAAATTGGCCACCGTGAAGAGTTTAAAAGCTGATATTTCGAGCGTTAACCCTAAGTCAGAGTGATTTGACTCGCCACTTGAGAAAATGACACTGAAACCTGGCCAAATTTATGAATATACGTAGTATAAGAGTCAAATGAACTAACTGAACATAACGGTGGAATTTTTCATCACTTTATTCAACTTTCATAAGGTTGACTGAGGACTCTGAATAACTACATCAGCGTTAGATTCGCGCTATCAAGGCTCTTCTGAATGCAACCATAATCTCGTGATAAAAACTATTCGGACTCCGAGCTTGAAGCTTTCAGGACACGCGACATGACCTACGCGTGATCTCAGCGGTTGTGATCTTGTCGAACGGCAGTAACGGTTCTGAGTTGTGAGTAAAAAGACACGTTATTAATGAAGTCAGCTATTTTTCAATATTAAATTATTAAGTTAAATATCCAATTAATTTCAAACTGCCGGTTTTGTAGACGAAAATCAGTGAAAATGTAGATAAACTGAGCATTTTTGGAATTCTGGAGAATATTTTGAGACTCTCCACTTACATCAAATTCACTTTCACTCTTCTCTTTAACCACTCTGCCTCTGAATGACTGATCGAAAATTACTCCCTCTCTCTCTCTCATTCTCATTGACTAAAAACTTTCAAGTACATGCCTTTATATTCTCCATCGGTAGGCATGTTAGTCAACTGCCGGCTGATCCTGGAAAATTAAACATTTGCCTTCGTCAGAACACTGACCCAACCTCTTTAACAAGAATCTCTCAAATGAACAACAGCGAACAAAATGCTTCCGATCAATAGAAAAAAATACTTGACTGCGTAAGCCAAAACAAGAACTCGTGTGGGTCCAAGGCAAGGTCAGTAGACAAACCCTTATAGAAGTTAGACAAGACAGTCAAAATTAGTAATCTCATCGTGACAGCTTAAACCCAAATAACTTCGGACTTTGCACTCAAATAGTGACTAAATGCTAGAAATAAACAACGCTAAATCAGACTTAACTAACTAAATACTTCATAACGCAATCATTAGAAATGTTGTAATTTAAAAATACAAATTATGTATAGGACAAAAATGTTTGATGATTGTTTTCATCATCATTTGAATGGCATTGAGGCTATCGAGTTGCCTGTCACATTTATAGATAAAGGCTTATATCGGTCATTTAGCAGGTGGTGTAAGACCACTAAGGGAAGCTTATAAATGATTTATCAGAATTACAGAAAGGTATACCGAGCATTTTGCCTTATGCCGATTGCCTTCCTTGTTGTGCGGAGATGCGTCAAGTCGATCAAAATCAATCTCTGAGTGGACTTTTTCCAAAACTCAGTTTGACTGGGAAGCAACTCATTGCAGACGAAGAGCGCTCATCCAGTCAAGATCAAATGTAAATTCTCCAGTGATGATAAAAAGAAGAAAGCTTCCTTATCAACCAATCAGCATCCTATAGATTTAACCCGTATATAATAACCGATGCTACTCGCTTTGTGGAAGTTATAACGGTGTCTAAATGAATGAAGGGCAAAGAGTAGTTATCGTTTCGGTACGGAACATTTTGAAGCCTTTCAGAAAAGAAAATAAATCTGCTATACTCCTCATTAAGATTTCGTGGCACGTATACTTGTACTGGGGTTTGTAAATGACCTGGTTTTGCAATCTGATCTGTTTGCTATTCTCAGGAAATATATTAATATGTTTGCGAAATATCTACTTTTTCTTTGAAGCGAAAGCGGCAAAGAGCGTAGACTCAGTGTTATTAATGAAAGCTTGGTTTTGGATTCTTGGCTGGTCTCTTTCCATTCTGACCATAACTGGGAATGGATTTATTATCTTTCTTGTTTGGTGCAAGCGACAGCTTCGCACTAAGACCAACGCGTTTATTGTTTCACTTGCAGTGGCGGACTTCTGTGTTGGGATGAGCGCAGTACCCTTGATGTTTGCGTGCGAAGCTGTAACTGCCTGCAGTGATTCACCTATTTTTCGGGCTGTAAAGGCGTCAAAGTTTCTGTTTCCGTACGCATCTGTAACAAACCTCTGCATTTTAGTCCTGGATCGCTACATTGCTGTTGTGAAACCTTTGAAATACTTGACTTTTATGTCACGTCGCCGAGTCATTCAAATGGTTTCCGTATCCTGGGCGATTCCTTTCGCCCTGGGCATTGGTTCGGCTCTTAGCAGTGTTGGTTTTAAATCATTTGCCTCTACGATGTTCACTTGTGTCCTTTTGTTATTAGAGGTTTTACCAAGTTTGATTTTAATATTTTGCTTCTTATCCATGTTACAGGTTGTATTTAAACATAATCGAGCCGCTCGTGTTTTAGCAAAACAGTTACGCTTTAACCATCAGGTTTTCTTCAAAACTCAGGAAAAGTCTGCCATTTTAATGATGGGGATTGTAATAAGTTTGTTTCTTGTGTGTTACGGGATTTTTCTACGCTGTTCCTTAATTTATGTTTTCGATGTTCAATCATTATGTAATGATACTGACTACAAAATCCCTATTTTAGTATTAAACTCTGCCATCAACCCTTTTGCGTATTCGTTTTTCAAGAGAGACATTAACAAAGAGGTAAAGGGACGAATTTGTTGTGCCACATCGCCACAGCGGAACAGGATCCATCCTTTTAAAGAGAGAAGTTTTTCACTGGCCCCAGTTAAGAGATCAAGTTGAGTGATTAGCCATCAGAATGATTGCGTTTTTATAGAAGGAAAAGAAACTTAGTTGTTCGGGACATTCTAACTATAACTTTAGACCAGAAGTAAAAAAGGCTTTATCAAAAATGTTTGATGGTTGATTTTATACGTTTAAATGTCAAGAAAGCTATCAAGTTGCCTGTCACCCAAACCAGGTCAATTTAATAAACTGAGTAAAAGCCTCTAATAGCTTTATGTCACTCAGCCTGCCAATGGAACAGGTGGTGCGAGGAGCACTTTGGGAAATCGATTAATTATTCATCAGGATACATGACTGTAATTATATGAAAATCATATGTGTATGCTGCGGTTGAAGAAACGAACATAGGAGCGATCCTCGCAGTTATGACTACTACTGAACTAATAGTGAAAATAAGGCCTGAAAAAAATTTAGGCCCGTACGGGATCTAAACCCATAACCACTGCGATACCAGTGCAGCGTTCTACCAACTGAGCTAACAAGCCAACTAAGAGCTCAGTGGTCATTATGATGGTTACAAATAAACTCTCTAAGTGGTTAGTAAATGACTGTAAATATATGAAAACCATATATTCATCAATAATTAAGAGGTGCATGCGATACTCGACAATTTATGAAGTAACTGAAATACTTGGAGCAACCTCATTGGTCAAAAATCTGTCTTTCATTGCACCAGTAATTAAACGACCCACTGAAAGTTGAATTTATGTCATAAAAGCAGTATCGGTTTCCTGGCGTCATAACCCACTTGGTGTGTTGGGAGAACACGCGAAAAGTTTGTTAATCACTCGCATCCTGCTCGTGGTGTACAAACTTTTCTCGTTTTCCCTCTGCATCTCGCATGGGTTAACACGTCGGTAAACCGATAGAAAGTCAGTGCGGTCTACTGCTTGGATAAACCTCATCATTACTTCCTGTAGACTATAATGTTTTTTTCTTACAATGAAGACAATTTCCTCAGGCGATAAGGCTGACTGAATACGCGTTATTTTAAGAACCATTGTGCTCGGCTGTGATTGGCTGGTATTCAACAACTGCAACGGGCGCAAGTGGAAAGTTATCACGGCGGTCTACTAAAGTACGGAGGTGACTTTATCGGTCGTAACACAAACGATTAAGTTCAATTGCAACCTTACTTACGATTTGCCGCCCGTAAAAAGAGCACTGTCTGTACAGCACCACGCATGAAACATGAAAACCGCAAGAGACGCCGGGATACCTACGATTCCCGAATTGAACCGAAAATGTACGTAAAGAGGAGACTCCTTGATATTTATTGTGAACTTGGCCCTTTAGCCTAGTGGTCTATAGCAAAAGATATTAACTGCAGTCGATGTTCTCTTATCTACAGCTACAAAATTAATCCTGTTTCCAATCTTGACAATGCCTTTTAATGCCTTTTTAGCAGCTGCCTCTGGTCGAAATTTTATCAGTCAGTTTTGTTTCCTTGATTGTGTTCAGTAAATCCCCTTGTCAAACTGAAAAAAAACTCAGTGTGCAAACTCACAGCGTGAAATGTAAAAATTTTTTATCGGTAGTGACCTTTTTAGGTGTCTACTGAAGCTTTTAAGCGGCGTTCTTACATGGCTCTGCAACGAGATATCAGTCCCTACAAATAGTGTTCATGTCCAAATGACCATAATTTTAAAAATTTTAAAATTTAGGTTATTAAACTTATCAGAATCAGCAAGATCGTTTATTCAAAGTTTCACAGACTTGAAACACTTCAGATAAGTTAGTCCTTCTCCATTCTTGGCTCGGTCAAGCCCGGATGCTATCGAGAGCCGTGAAGTCAGCGAGAGAATTACACTTATTCCCTTCCAGCCCTCGCGCAGAAATCGAGGTACGGGAGACCAACGATCCAATTAGTACTTATCTCTACCAAATTCCAGTCATTTCCTTGTACATTGGACGAGAGAATTTGGTTTTACACCTTCTCACTTGTCTGTTCTTTTAACCTGTTTGCAAGAAAATTATTGGTATCGTATGGAGATGTTGCGTATGGATTATGTCTGGGAGGTAGAGGGATTTAGTGAAGATTGGGAGAGTAAATTGATTCAAATTCGTCGCGCCCTAAAGTGTTTTCTTCCGCAGAAAATAACTTCCTTCTGGCTAAGTTTTTTGTGACCCTAATGCTGTTAAACTTAAGGGAAAAGAGTGAAAAACGGCTTTGATAATAAAAAGATTTTCTCAATCAAGTATTTATCATTGTCAAGGCCTATTGTTTCGCAACGACTTCTCATAGGGCAATGTCTAAAATTGTCTAAGTTTCAGTAATATTTTGTGAAAGAAAATAATAAACGTCTTCGCCTCGCACGCACAGTGAACATTATGCAAACGCTAGTAAAGTTTTAAACAGCTGCCACTGGCTTATTGTTCAGACTTCGTGAAACTAACAACGGTGCCTGTTATATAAACAGTGCACGGTTAATAGGGCATATGGATTTTTGTTAAGCTTAAGATGTCTTAACTAACATTTTGTGTAAGTGCTATATGTATATATTCATATAGCACTTACGTCCACCGTCCGTGCCTCGCATGCGCAGTGAACATTATGCAAACGCAAGTAAAGTTTTAAACAGCTGCCACTGGTTTATTGTTCAGACTTCGTGAAACTAACAACGGTGCATGTTATATATACAGTGCACGGTTAATAGGGGACATAAATTGTTGTTAGGTCTAAGATGACCAGATGTCTTAGCTAATATTTTGTGTAAGCGCTAGATATGTAGGTAATCATATGATTTCGAGTGCAATTGGGAATAAATAAGCGCGAGTAAATTCTTTCAAAGAACAAAATTGCACTCGCCCTACGGGCTCGTGCAGTTTGTGGTCTTAGAAAAAATTAACAAGTGCTTATTTATTCCAAACTGCACGAGAAAAATCATGTGATTACGTATTAATAATGTACATGAAAAAATTCGAGATAGCTTATCATAATTACGCAGAAGCAAAGCGCGCGCATCAAGTGCATTCGGTCAAAACAACCGCGTACGATCAAAACAGTAATAGACAATGATATTTTCACTATAAGGCGCAAGAAAAGTTCAAAGTCCGGCCAAATAGTTCAAGGAATTGTTCAGTCTGTGTCCGAATCACTTTCGATGGAATTGAATCGTCTTGTGCGAGGTTTAACCATGTTTGTTTTTACTTTCGGCGTAGAATCGCTCGAGCAAAGTGTTAAGCTGGATCGGCTCATAATTTTGATTTTTTTTCGCAATTTTTCCAAACCGACAATCAAAAAGTAGTGCTTTTTACAGTGTTTTCTCTGTTAGAGCTGTTTTTCAGCTGCTGTATTGCTGTTGCGGTTGCGAAAGAAAACCTACTTAAAACGTCGGCCATTGTTTCGCTCGCAAATTTTTAGCGTTGCCAAATCGCTCTGACGAAGGGCTAACGCTCAAAACGTCAGCTTTTTTACCCTTTACGGTGGCTAATTTACGTTTTCAACTCAGTTGTTAACACTAAATTACCTGCTATACTCTCCCACCGACGCAGCACCACAGTTTCTTTAGAAACTTACCCCTTTAAAGTTTTAAACAGCTATCACTGGTTTATTGTTCAGACTTCGTGAAACTAACAACGGTGCATATTTTATAAACAGTGCACGGTTAATAGGGGAAATGAATTTTTGTTAGGCTTAAGATGACTTAACTAATATTTTGTGTTAGAGTAATATGTATATCGTAAATTATTGTTAATTAATGTACGTCAGTGGTGTCTATATAAATTATAATTTAAGACTTGAGAGGTAACAGATGTATCACGTATCCTTTGCGTTAATACACAAATAGGCGTCATCGTCTCTGATCATAAAATGGAAATTTGGTTTTGGATTCTTGGCTGGTCTCTTTCCATTCTGGCCATATCTGGAAATGGATTTATTATCTTTCTTTTTTGGAGCAAACGACAGCTTCGTACCAAAACCAACGTGTTTATTGTGTCACTCGCAATAGCAGACGTTTGTGTTGGGATTACAGCTGTTAATTCGCGGTTTGTGTGTGAGATGGTTAATGGCTGCGAAAGTTCAACATCAATCGAGCATATTTCATGGGCCATTAGGGGCTTGTTTATTTACGTGTCCGTGACAAACCTTTGCAGTTTAGTCGTGGATCGCTACATTGCTTTAGTAAAACCTTTGAGATACTTGACATTTATGGCGCGTCGCCGAGTCGTTCAAATGGTTTCTTCATCCTGGGCGATTCCGACCACCCTTGTTACTGTTATCACAATAGATAAGCTTGTTTTTAAAGTGAACCCAATTCTATTCTACCTTTTTACTTGTCTGGTAATGATTTTAGAGTTTTTTCCCGGTGTAATTTTAATATTTTGCTATGTATCCATGTTAAAAGTTGTAATTAAGCACATACGGGGTGCTCGTTCGTTGGCAAAACAATTAAGTTTCAACCATCGGATTTTCTTTAAAACTCAGGAGAAGTCTGCTGTTATAATGATGGGTATTGTGATAAGTCTGTTTCTTGTGTGTTACGGGATCTACTTGCGATGTAGTTTAGTTTTTTTGTTGAATAATAACGAATCATGTTATGATGATGAATATAAAATTCCTGTTTTAGTGTTAAACTCCGCCATCAACCCTTTGGCGTACTCTTTCTTTAAGAGAGACATAAACAAGGAGGTAAAGAGACGCCTCTGTTTTGCCTCTTTGATGAAGCGAAACAACAATCATCCTCAAAGTGTGAACTGATCTAGTGGTTAAATGAGCGAGATAAGAATTTTCCTTTTACCAAGTACATTTTAATCTTTAATGTAAATGGCAGAGGAAGGGAGAACAACGAACTCATTTTAGGAGTGAATTAGCAAATGGAAGGCGAAGTGGCAGACTCCTTTTTCAAGCCGGAAAGAGAGTTAACAGACGAATGTTTTGGATTGAGGAAGACAGCTTTCATTTCTCTCCAAAAGTCCATGAGTCAAACAAATTTTTACTTTGCTGGTCATCTTCTTCAGGGAGTATGAGTCCATGGAATTCAAGAGTAAGTGAGGATCACTAGTAACAATATTCAGACCGACTGAGAGTGATAATGATAATGATGATAACAACTTGAAAAGATCTATTTGAATGCTTGGATCAGTTTTATGATCAAGGAAAGTTTTTTCTTCTGCGGAATCACGAGCATCTTGGGGAAGGAGCCATCGATCGGAGGTCTGATGGATGGGAAACAATATGTATTGGTTTTGAATGATACCATTTACATGAACTTGACTCGAAGTCCATCAATATTTACGACATAACTCAACCCTAAAGCTTAGTAAAAAACATGTCCGCGGGATTGCGAAGTTTTCTGTCTAGTGACTCAGTTACTAACATTTCAAGTACGCCGTCACGAAATATCCCTATCATCATGTACAAACTGATCACTTCGCTGAGACAGTAAAATGAGTAAAATTAACCCTAATAGTGATAATGATAATAATAATGATAATAATAATGATGATGATCAGTAATGATGATAATAATAATGATGATGATAAGTAATGATAATATTAATGAAGATCATACAAAATATAAAACTCATGAATCAGCACTTTTCTTACACAAATAGAGGAGCCGTGACTGTCTTCTTTTCTGTTGTAAATAAACGCTGAAAGCGGCTAAAGCACAGAAGAAGTACGTCTGGTGCTTCCATCTATTTCTTGAGTGTACGTCTTGTGTCCGTACTTCTTGATTGTACGTCTTGTTTCCCCCTACTTCTTGGGTGTACGTCTTGTATTTCTCCCTACCTCTTGAGTGTGCGTCCTGTGTTTTCCCCCTAATTCTTGAGATTACGTCTTGTGTCTCCCCTTACTTCCTGAGTGTACGTCCTGTGTCTCCCCCTACTTCTTGAGTTTATGTCGTGTGTCTCTTCCTACTTATTGAGTGTACGTCTTGTGTCTCTCCCTACTTCTTGAGTCATGTGTCATGTGTCTCCTCGTACTTCTTGAGTGTACGTCTTGTGTTTCCCCCTACTTCTTGAGTGTACGTCTTGTGTCTCCCCCTACTTCTTGAGTGTACGTCTTGTGTCTCCCCCTACTTCTTGAGTGTACGTCTTGTGTCTCCCCCTACTTCTTGAGTGTACGTCTTGTGTCTCCCCCTACTTCTTGAGTGTACGTCTTGTGTCTCCCCCTACTTCTTGAGTGTACGTCTTGTGTTTCCCCCTACTTCTTGAGTGTACGTCTTGTGTCTCCCCCTACTTCTTGAGTGTACGTCTTGTGTCTCCCCCTACCTCTCGAGTGTACGTCTTGTGTCTCCCCTTACTTCTTGAGTGTACGTCTTGTGTTTCCCCCTACTTCTTGAGTGTACGTCTTGTGTCTCCCCCTACTTCTTGAGTGTACGTCTTGTGTCTCCCCCTACTTCTTGAGTGTACGTCTTGTGTCTCCCCCTACTTCTTGAGTGTACGTCTTGTGTCTCCCCTACCCGAGTGTACGTCTTGTGTCTCCCCTACCCGAGTGTACGTCTTGTGTTTTTTTCCGTACTCCTTGAGTGTACATCTTGTGTCTCCCCCTACTTCTTGAGTGTACGCCTTGTGTCTCCCTCTACCTCTCGAGTGTACGTCCTGTGTCTCCCCCTACTTCTTGAGTGTACGCCTTGTGTCTCCCCCTACCTCTCGAGTGTACGTCCTGTGACTCCCCCTACTTCTTGAGTGTACGTCTCGTGTTTCCTCGTACTTCTTGAGTGTACGTCTTGTGTTTCCCCCTACTTCTTGAGTGTACGTTTTGTGTCTCCCCCTACTTCTTGAGTGTACGTCTTGTGTCTCCCCCTACTTCTTGAGTGTACGTTTTGTGTCTCCCCCTACTTCTTGAGTGTACGTCTTGTGTCTCCCCCTACTTCTTGAGTGTACGTCTTGTGTCTCCCCCTACTTCTTGAGTGTACGTCTTGTGTCTTCTTGAGTGTACGTCTTGTGTCTCCCCCTACTTCTTGAGTGTACGTCTTGTGTCTCCGCCTACTTCTTAAGTGTACGTCTTGTGTTTCCTGTACTTCTTGAGTGTACGTCTTGTGTCTCCCCCTACTTCTTGAGTGTACGTCTTGTGTCTCCCCCTACTTCTTGAGTGTACGCCTTGTGTCTCCCCCTACCTCTCGAGTGTACGTCCTGTGTCTCCCCCTACTTCTTGAGTGTACGTCTTGTGTTTCCCCCTACTTCTTGAGTGTACGTTTTGTGTCTCCCCCTACTTCTTGAGTGTACGTCTTGTGTTTCCCCCTACTTCTTGAGTGTACGTCTTGTGTCTCCCCCTACTTCTTGAGTGTACGTCTTGTGTCTCCCCCTACTTCTTGAGTGTACGCCTTGTGTCTCCCCCTACCTCTCGAGTGTACGTCCTGTGTCTCCCCCTACTTCTTGAATGAGTTTACGTCTCGTGTTTCCTCGTACTTCTTGAGTGTACGTCTTGTGTTTCCCCCTACTTCTTGAGTGTACGTCTTGTGTTTCCCCCTACTTCTTGAGTGTACGTCTGTGTCTCCCCCTACTTCTTGAGTGTACGTCTTGTGTTTCCCCCTACTTCTTGAGTGTACGTCTTGTGTCTCCCCCTACTTCTTGAGTGTACGTCTTGTGTCTCCCCCTACTTCTTGAGTGTACGTCTTGTGTCTCCCCCTACTTCTTGAGTGTACGTCTTGTGTCTCCCCCTACTTCTTGAGTGTACGTCTTGTGTCTCCCCCTACTTCTTGAGTGTACGTCTTGTGTCTCCCCCTACTTCTTGAGTGTACGCCTTGTGTCTCCCCCTACCTCTCGAGTGTAAGTCCTGTGTCTCCCCCTACTTCTTGAGTGTACGTCTTGTGTCTCCCCCTACTTCTTGAGTGTACGTCTTGTGTCTCCCCCTACTTCTTGAGTGTACGTCTTGTGTCTCCCCCTACTTCTTGAGTGTACGTCTTGTGTCTCCCCCTACTTCTTGAGTGTACGCCTTGTGTCTCCCCCTACTTCTTGAGTGTACGTCTTGTGTCTCCCCCTACTTCTTGAGTGTACGCCTTGTGTCTCCCCCTACCTCTCGAGTGTAAGTCCTGTGTCTCCCCCTACTTCTTGACGTCTCGTGTTCCTCGTACTTCTTGAGTGTACGTCTCGTGTTTCCTCGTACTTCTTGAGTGTACGTCTTGTGTTTCCCCCTACTTCTTGAGTGTACGTCTTGTGTCTCCCCCTACTTCTTGAGTGTACGCCTTGTGTCTCCCCCTACCTCTCGAGTGTACGTCCTGTGTCTCCCCCTACTTCTTGAGTGTACGTCTCGTGTTCCTCGTACTTCTTGAGTGTACGTCTCGTGTTTCCTCGTACTTCTTGAGTGTACGTCTTGTGTTTCCTCGTACTTCTTGAGTGTACGTCTTGTGTTTCCCCCTACTTCTTGAGTGTACGTCTCGTGTTTCCCCTTACCTCTCCAGTGTACGTTTTGTGTTCCCCCCCTATTTCTAGAGTGTACGTCTTGCGTTTCCCCTACCCGAGTGTACGTCTTGTGTTTCTCCGTACTCCTTGAGTGTACATCTTGCATATCCCCTTACTCCTTGGGCGTACGTCTTGTGTTTCCCCTTAATTCTTGGGCGTACGTCCTGTGTTTCCTCGTACTTCTTGAGTGTACGTCTTTTGTCTCCTCGTACTTCTTGAGTGTACATCTTGTGTTTCCCCCCTACTTCATGAGTGTACATCTTGTGTTTCCCCTACTTCTTGAGTGCTAGGAATGCCTTGCGCTGCTGCTGTTGTGTTTCTTACTACTCTGAATAGCCTACACTCCAGTCTTACTTTTACGATGGAGCTTCCCACTGGTAATAAGATCTCTTTTATCTACATTAAAATCGTCAAGAACGGAACTAAACTTGAAACTCGTGTTTACCGAAAACCAACAAACACCGGTTTGCTCTTACACTTCCACAGTCACACCGATAAACGCTATAAAGACTCTTTATTAATAATTGATCTAAATTATCATCGTACGAGTTATTAGAGCACTTAGAATGATTATTTTTGCGCATGTTAAAGTTTACATTAAGCTCCACATGGGATTAAAAAGTTCAAAATTGCCGTTTTTAGATATTTAGAGTAATGATGACTCTAGGCTTTCATTTCTGACAATTTTTATTGTAAAGTAAGTTCATGACATCGACGAATGTTCTGTTTCAAATCATCTTTTCTCTTTTTGTTTTGAGAATAAGCATCGAACAGTCTACAATTGTTTATCATTTTTTCTTTATGCCAAATAATTTGCCGGTTTTATAGCCATGCTAAACAGAATTTCTGGCGTCTCCAATTTAGATCGAAAGGAGTAAATCTAATGCTATGAATTTGTTGATAGTATACATGAAATAATTACGCGCTTCTGATTGGCTGAAAACGAGTGCAAAGTTGTGACACGAGTGTAAATTACAAAAAGCGCGCGCACGCTCCTCAAATTTCGTCTGTCCTGTCTGTCTGTGATGTTTTTTTTCATGTAAATTATTGACAAGTAACGACATTATTTCTAATAAGTGTAATAAGCGTCAATACATTTCTAAGAGACGACAAATTGCACTTGCACCGGCTACGGGTTCTTGTAATATGTTGTCTTTGAAAATTTACTCGTACTTAGAAATACCAATTTGCACTCGATATCATGTTATTACCTATAAAAACAGAACCTTTTCTTGACAGAACAATAGTAGTTTGATTACAAGAATAGGCAGGACGAAATTTGCCAAGAGAAGACTGAAACCAAGCTTGGAGTACTTTGTACTTTGGAGTGATTAATAATAATTCTTAGACC